CCTACAATTATGCACCCCCCGCCACTCCTACCTTTACCAAGCGCGGGGGGTGCCCGTGACAGCCTAGAGATCGCCACAAAAACATCTTCGCTGGAACGCTGGTTGACAAAAGGATGGGCTCTTGTTGTTTGATCGCACTCGTCGTGGACGACTTCGGTGAACCCCACCAATTCAGCATCGCATACCGCATCATCCAGCTCTCGCGAACCCCCCGAAGTCTCATCCGCATCTGCGTAGTCAACTCTAAACATTGACTTCGCTTGCCACTCGAGCATGGTGCAAAGAATTCCCAGTGACTCTGCTGTGCCAACTTGCCACGAGAACCCGCTCGGAGAAGTTTACATTCTCGATAGAAGTGTTCACTCCGGAGCAGGAAGCTTGCCACACTCCGCTCCGTGCAAGGTCGGGTAGCTTAACTGGACATGCTCACTTGCACTCCCATGCAAATGCGCGATGCTGGCTGAAACAGTTCAAACTCAAACATCAGGTCGAGGATGGTTCTCAGTTGAACTAACATCTGCAACAGAATAACAAACTGGTATCCTTTAGTTCCAATCACCAGCGATGCAAAGCATAGCTGCTTGGTGTCTTGCAAGCTTATGCGAGCGTGGCCTGGTCCAGTGCAGCATCTTGCGCGATCCACTGTTCGATTTGATGAGGGCTTCTCCACGTCCTGCCAACACGCTGGTGAAACAATCATTTCATGGCACATTCATGTTGAGCAAGGTCTTCGACCTCATGATCTGTAGCATCTGGTTGTGGCGCTTCTGCTCCGGCACAGTCTCAAGTTGCACCTTTCCGTGCTAAAGTCCATTCTCCCGGCGACATGTAATTGTCGTCCATGATAGTTTTCTGTGGCCTGCCGTAGAGCAAGCATGATCTGATTGAGCCGCTCGTGGTCCTCACTGACCATCAATGCCTCTCGAGAGAATGTCGGCTCTTCATGAGGTGTCTGTTCCTATGCAGAACACCGCAGCTGGCTACTATCTGACCTCCAAGGCACCGAAAATCACCGTACCTCGTCGGCCAGAGACCGTGTCAATGACATGTGAAGCCAAGTACTTGCTAGTGAAGTGCGATAGTAGCAGTTTCCATCGCCGCGGATCGATCTCCAACATGAGTATGCCTGCTGCGAGTGCTGCCGACAGTGGCAGGACACCCTTGCTTGGTTGCATGCTTGCGCCTGTGCCAGGCGTCTGATCTTCTCCAGTTTGCCAGGGTTGAAGCGACACTCCTCCTGCCGGTATGCTCTAGCTACATCATGCAGTGGACACGCTGCTCAACGATTTCACAAGGCAGAACAAAGGCTTACCTACGACTTCGTGATAGTTCCTTGCCAACTCGCGCAGTGGCGATGTGCGTGCTAGGCTTTCTATGATCGTGGCAGCTTCAAAGCAGTGAGGTTTGCCATCCGACATGCACCGAGCAAGTATTGCATGGGCGAACGGCACGCCAGGTTGTGTGCGTACCAGCCCAATGTTTTTGCGCAGCTGCATTGCACTGCTCACGATCTGGCAGCATTCCAGGATTGCACATGTCACTGATTCTGGGGTATGTCGGTTGCTGACTACGGGTAAGGAATGGACTGGAATTGTGCACAGCTTGGCTGGCCGCTTTCTTTTGCTTGTCTTGCCGTGTCTGATTTACGACAAGCATGTTAGAAGGCCTTAAGCTGACATGCCGCGTCCTCAAGCGTATGTATGCTGCACCGATATCCGACATTTGGCTGGTCCGTGCCTGCAGAGCTCTCCGACTCACGAGCTAATCTCCAACTCAAAGCAGGTGCTAGCAGGACCTCGAGGTTGTTGAGGAAGGGATTGCAGCACCTGTCACCGACAGCCCTTGCGAAATGCTACATGGACGCTGATCCAGAGACAACGTGACGGCTGTCCGAGGTATACTGGTGAACTTAGTTAGCACGGACATGAACAGCTAATATATGCTAATATTGGCACGTAGTTTTGGCTTCTCGAGCGACCAGTCCGAAAGTGTCTGCGGCCTGCTTCGGTCCGTGTGCAGTCCGGTTCCAACACTTCTGCATATTCGCGCAGCTGCAGAGCTAACAGCTAACAAAATGCCGCAGCACTGCTCACTTAAAGCAGCATGTCAAACGCAACCGCCAAGTTCAAAGGACCTCGGGCCATGAACTGAAAAGCCAGCATCTGCTCTCTACAATCTGTTCCACAGCTCGGTCTCTGGCCAATCTTGTTCAAGAGATTATTCTTCATCCGCGGGTCTGGGCTTGGTAAGAGAAGCAGCTCAACAATGGATCTGCCCTGGCAATCGAGGAGCTGAAACAACGCTTTCAATAAACCCAGCAAGTATGATCAAGCTTTACCAACCATTGCACAAGCCTGGCTGTATTGACCGCGGAATCCCACTGGTGAGTTGTCCACGAAGTACCTCATAAAGTGGGCTGCGCTGAGCAACCCTGCGCACCGCGGCCCTGCCCCCTGCGATCAAATGATAACATGTCCGAAGCAAAACAACTCCGATTAGTTTAAGGGTACCTAGAGCGTTCCAAGATAACTACCACCACTAAAATCCTTCCATTTTGAAGACTTTTCCCTCCAGCCTTCACTCCCCTCCACAATTGACGAAATCTGAGGCCTGGTACTGTGCAGTAGTACAGTAGTAGTAGTAGTAGTAGTAGTAGTGGTGGTAGTAGTGGTAGTAGTGGTAGTAGTGGTAGTAGTAGTAGTAGTAGTAGTAGCACAGAAGTAGTACAGTACAGTACAGTAGTAGTACAGTAGTACAGTAGTAGTACAATAGTAGTACAGTTGTAGTGTAGTAGTACAAAAAGTACTGTAGTGGTACAGTAGGAGTACAGTAGTGGTACAGTATGGTTGGGGTTTGAGGGTTTAGGGTTTGGGCAGTTTAGGCTTAAGTGAGGTTTTGGGTTTAGGGAGAGTTTCGGGCTTCAGGGCCAGGGTTTTAGGGTTTGGAGGGGGGTTTTAGGCTTCAGGGTCCAGAGCTTTAGGGTTCGGGGGGTCTGAGGTTTAGGTTTTATAACGGGAGGTTGAGATGAGGCTCAAGGGGAATTTTGGGTTAAGGCTTAAGGGCGGTTTCGGGTTTAGGGAGAGTTTCAGGCTTCACGGCCATGGTTTTAGGGTTTGGAGGGGGGTTTTTGGGTCTTGGGTCGCGGCTGCTGTAAGATTGAACATTACTAGAAGGGAAGCAGCACAACCAAAAAATGGCCAGGCCCAAAACAAACGCAATAACTAGGACACCCCAAATGTTTGGTCCCGGCTTGACTAAGCAAACAACGCATTAAAGAGGAACGCTGAATACTTCGGGCCTCCACATTACTTGTGAATCACGACTTCCGCTGTAAGGCTCCAACTGCCAGTTGATCTTCCATGGAAATGCGCCGCGGGTCTCCACCTCTCTCTGCTGTCATAAACAAGCGCCGCCAACTGCCACCCGGGTAACGCAACAACATCTCAAATTAGTCTTCTAAGCCTCGCATGTGCCTTTCCACCACACTGTGCAAACAACTCTACAACAGCAACAGCAACGAACACTGCGACGACAACAACTTCGTGGCAGTATCGTAGCATGATCGTGATCAGCAGTGCTGACCGCAGACCGACCGAGCATGGAGTCACTGTTCGAGGCGGCGACGGATCGACAAACTCACCGACAAGCCGTCGAGAAATGAACACGAGCAGGAATTGAATCAAGGTAGCAAAGCACATCACCGAAACGAACCCCCACGCAAATGCCGCCATACCATGCCGCAGCCTCGGGGGAAAGTATAAGTAAACAGCAGTCTACAGCTTCGGACGATCACATCGTTCTGGTCCAGGTCTAGCCGTTCCTCTCCTTCAATGTGATGCCCAGTAGGGGCAACGGCAGGAACGCATATATTTGGCGAAAACAAAACCATCGTTCACTTAGCCCCGCCGTTGAGGATAAGAAAGCACATTCCAGTGCATCGACATAACTCACGCAACAGATCACAACGGCATGCCATGTCGTTCCCAGATGTACTTCTCTACTGACACTCTATGTTGACAAGCCACCCAAAATAGCTAGGCATTGATTGTAACACCATGCTTCTTCTGTCGCACCTCTCGCTGCACAGCTTCGGACTGCTGCTGTAGCTTGCGAATGACCTGGACTCATGCCAATCAATGCTTCAACTGCAGAAGCGCTCAGCTCGTCTGATGATAGACACCTTGTTATTGAGGCATGCATGACTGTTCGCAGCAGCCCGGTGCTTGGCAGCAAGGACGACTTGGGATGTCTTGGGACACTGGAACAAGAACTGTTGCGACGAAGCCCGAAGGCAGAACAACTGATAGCATCAGTATGAATTGCAAAATCAAATCAAGATTTCTGAGGTGGTAACCACAAGACGTAGCACGATGCAACCAAGCCAAAACGTAAACACACTGACATAAGCTGCTATGTCGACAGGTGGATATGCTACGGTTAGGTTAGACAGATTTACAGAGCTCCACAAGTTTGTAGCATGTCTGGTTGGGACATGGCAAGTGTCTTACGACCAGAGCCAATGTCCGTCTTGGTGCCTGTGGATTGAAACGTTTGAGTTGCCGTTACCCGCAGATATTTGCCATCACCGTCAGCAGATGCGGCATGCACCTGCAATGTCTCTAGGAAACCCCTGCAGAAAATTATTGATGAGGGCTGCCTCCAACGTCACGTGCTTCCCTTGGCCCTGCCTCGGCACTTATGAATGTTTTCGGCCGGTGGCAGCATCACATTGGTCCAACAAAAACGCAAGGTCTCTGCCTGCCCTGCTCCTGCACCAGCTTCATGTCTTGGCCTTGGAGGGTGCTCTGAAAGGCTCTTATCTACTTGAAACTTGAGAAGAGGCCACGAAAGCTATCTTTTTGGAACCAGAGTCGACAGAGCTCGGGCAGCGTGGATGCCAGCACGTATGTAGTAGCATGAAGCTTAAGCCTGCAAGATGATAGCATTATTCTGCTTTGCACTGGCACACATAAAGATACACCCTTGTTGTATCGTAGTGCCTTGACAGACCTCATTGCGCATCGGAGTGCCCCTGCCTAAGCAATAACAGTAACGAGCAGCTTCCATCTGTCCTGGCCGCAGCTTAGCTGAGAGAAGCACTCGGCCACGTAAACACAAAACGCAAGTTGCCATGTTGCCTAAACAGATGGACCATGATGGACCTTNNGGGGGGGGGGGGGACCAAAGGTGAGAGGCCACCCCCCCCCCCACCTTGCGCAACATTGCCAGGACCTTGTGGTGGTGCGGGGGAAGCCCCCCGGCCTTATTGGATCATTTGCGTGGTGGCTTGTGAACGGACCAGATAGGGTCCTGCATTCAATTTTGACCTAGTTCCCCACTTCCTAGGTGAATGGTAAACGACAACTCCCACAGCTCCACAGAGCTAGCTTTCGTGACTTCGTGCTTTGCTTTGACATTCAAGCTGGGCGCAGCTCCAGAGCTTCCTGCTATGCGGCCCAGCAAATCTTGCAGCTCAACCTGGAAGTGCAAGGTCAAACAGTCAAGGCTAGAAGACTTGCTTCAGCAGCATCGCAAGCAAAGAAACTGGACGCTACCTTTCCATACATTTGGCCACTTGGTTGCACCTCATAGCTCCACTCGCCACTTGGTCGAACAAGCGTCTTCGCGCCTGCTGACACGTCTCTTGCTCGGAGACTCAATAACTGCAAGATCTTCCAAGCACCTGACCTTCCAGAAACTCTGCCTCGGCAGATCGGCGTGCCTAACAGTTTCACAGACATTTACAGATCACGCTGCATTGCACAAGGCTTCTTTCCCGCTTCCACACAGGTTCCACACACCTCTTATATGGCTTGCGAAGGGTGGCCTCCACCGGATTGGGCTTTGCCGCCATGGATGCTTCGTAGCGGTCTGCAGCCCTTGCCTTGAACATGCGAGACAACGTGCTCCAGGCATTCCAGGTGCTGAGATGTGCTGAGTAACAGACTGACAAGGTCCGCAGCTGCTGATGAAAAAGCGCTTCAAGGGGGGCATCCAGGGCCTTTCTAGAAATGTCCGACTTCACAGAGACGCGGATCCTGGCCCTGGCCTTCTCAAGCTGGGAGCCATCCTTGGCCCCTGCTATTCTCATGCCACGCTTCACGATTTTGTCTGCCTTAGAGCAAATCATCCCATCGGTCACCGTCCCTTAATGCTCAGTCCTTGCTCATCCAAGATCTCAGCCACTCGACCAAAATTTGGAACCGTGCCCTTCGCCCGGACCTTTGCTCAAAAGCATCAGTTCCGTCCAGTCCTGGCCATTTGGATCTGATCTGAAGCTGTGAGGAAACTCAAGTCCACTTGGGCCCATTGCAACTTCTTGAAGTGCATCAACCTGACGACCAGCTGCAAGCACTTCGTCCAAGATGTGCGGCGCCATAAGTATCGCGTAACAACATACTGCGTACCCGCGTCTGCCTCACGAACTGTGCGAGTCAATGCTTTGACTTCTTGCGCTGTCATCGACGCCTTGCCAGGGTTTGTCTATCGAGACTTGAAAGCTGCAAGAAGGGTCGGGCGTGGCCGGCGTGGCCTGTGAGCCTTGGGCAGACTCTGCGACTGCCGCATATCCGGGCGATGCACACAGAAGTGAACCTCCAAATGATTTTGGACCAGGTTGAAGACAGGTGATAAGTACTCCGAAGGCCTACTACCAAGGCGGCCAAGGGCACCAGCCGCCTAGAGTCACAGGTGCAGCTTTGTCACGCTACGGCCTCAAGGCACTGGCCTGAAGAGCCTGCTGGGATTCCCTCGCTTCATGAGCCGCCTTGCATCACGGGCACAGTGCATCACGAGTGTTACTGCACGTGGAGTCGAGCAATCCACAGAGGCTCGAGCACACGCTTGGAAGCGAGCCACGGGGAAGAAGCTAACTCTCCGCGATGATATCTGATAAAATCGATGATGCTCAGCAGCTGTGCGCTAAGTCTGCTGACCATAATCCCACTCATTCAACTAACAGCTGCTGCCCTTAAGCCGAGTGTGTTTAGGGCACAGGCACCAGGATAACACATATCGGCATGTGGGACCGTGCAAAATCGAGTGCATCTTCCCGTGGAGACCGACACGGCGGAAGCACCTCGTCCATGTGAGAGCCTATGCTTGGTGCCTCCCAGAACAACATGAGAGTTAGTGTGTACAGCGGCGAGCAGACCCACAGGGCACCTCCTCGAAGAGAACCTGAAGGCAACGCGCAGCGCATCAGCTTGGATCTTAGCAAATCTGGAAGTGCGAGCCTCTTCGCCACTTGTAACTCCGAAGCAGATCTGGCACAGAGATCAAATTCTGACTGAATCTCAGGAGGAGCCCTGGCTTGAATGATGGCCGCGGGGATCTTGCCACTGCCAAAGCCAGTGACTGCAGGATCCCGAAGCAGCACGTGCTGAGGTCGCTGGCATTCTGCGACAGTTTGTCTTCGCCATGCACGGCATAGCGCTGCAGCCTCGGCCGGTTGAAAGGTTTCATGCAAACAGGCGTCAGTTCGGATCGGCGAATGCTCAAAACGCATTTCTTGAAGGATCCAAAACCCAGAACTAAAGAAACCTTGCGCAAATTCTGCAAACCTGACCTGTGACAGCCCCTTGTGCCTCTTTTGCAACGGCCACGCATGCACGCTTTCGCTCCCCATTCACCGGTCTCGCCCCTCATCCTGCCCGGTTACCAGCAGCCGAATTCAAGGGAGGGCCCAATCTTGCAACGTTTTTCGTGGCACTTTGCTGGAACATCGTATGCAGGGAGCCCACAGAGAAACACCCGCGATTCACGGCTTCATGGTGTTATTGTTGTTGTTGCTGCTGCTCGTCGTCAGCATTCACGCTGTGTCCAGTACGGAGCTCGGCTCTTGTGTGTCCCCGGTGAGTGTGTGAGTGCGGTTATTGTGCTCATTGCTGCGATGCGGGTTGCATCCACCAATTCCAGGCTGGTCTTCCGTGCCGTTGCTGTGGCCCGAGCTGCTTCACTTCTTGCCGGCTGAGTTTGGCTCTTGCCTCGCTAAACGTCCCTGGTCCATCAAATGCCGGAAATTCCAGGTGCAGGCGCATCATGCACGACCCGCTCCGGCACCTCACAAGCAAGGACACGTCTCCGGCCTGGGGCGTGCCCGAACATCCTTGGAGTAGGTTGGGCCTTCTGCACTGGCTGTGTTCATACGTGGCTTGTGTCTTGTTTGCTGATTTGTCTATGACGCTGGCCGCGTGCAGTTGATCTTACGACTGTGCCATCCATGTTGCCAGACATTCCGAAAGAAGGGCATAGCTGTTAAACCGAGATCCGCGCTCTGGTGCCACACTGTCATCATCCGGGGCCTGCGGTTTGTCGTGCAAAAGCATGCGTTTTGCCCATCCAAGCATGCTTCCCCTCAGTGTTTTCTGTTCTGAGACTCTGAGCGTAATGAGAGCAATGTGCAAACGGCAGACGCTGCAACGGCACTCTGCCGCATTCACAACTAGCTGACGCTGATCACACCTAAGCTAGAAAACTTTGCACCTACTTCATGTGTCAGGGACAGCAACCCATGACTTTGTTTTGGGCCTCGTGTTTCCCCAGCTCAAATCATGTGCTCCGGATGCTGATCTTCCAGGACATAAATCGTTGGAACTTTTCCTCAGCGCCAGGCAGATGCATTGACCGTGAAGGTCTTCATGACAGCTTTCTGCTCCTTCTCCCGCTCTCTCTGGATCAGGCAAAGGTGACCGCACCTTGCCACCCACAGATTGAGAATCTCTGATCAAAGCAGTTCATGCTGGGGAGCTGGACCCATTGCGAGCACACGTACTGCCTCGACGCTTCATTCGCTTCACACCACCGGTGCACATTGTCATTCAAGCTAGGAGCTGCTTTCGATGCAACGCAGTCTCTAGGGGACGCTCTGCAACTACAAACGTGATGCCACATAAGAGCTACATGGCAGCAGTCTAGCAGCGGCATGCAGTGGCTGCTGCGAGAATGTGCCATGTGAGTTAAGGTTGTGGCACTGCTCGCAATCTCCTGAGCATCCAGAAGTTGCAGAACCCATGACCTGTGGCCAGCAATGCTGAATCGTCGCACTGAGCCGATTACTCTTCAAATCAGCATGCATCTGCGGTCTTGCTATTGACTGTGGGGGCAACTGGGGGCCGCACACTTCTGCGCCGTCTCGATGATGCGATGCCACTCTGTCTATCTCTGTACGCGATCTTTAGAACTTCAATAACGCTGTGTGCTAAGTTATGTTGTAAGTTGCTGCGTTTGGCTGCTCAAATCCAGCCCGGCTGGAGGTCAGTCAGTGATCATCACAGGGGAGGGTACATGCATACACCTTTACGGATATTCTGTCTTCGACCTGCACATACCGGTGTCTCAATCATTTTGTATGTGACAGACTAGGTCACAACGTGCACCGCTCACATGTCCTGGCACAGCGTACGAGGACCTCTAACTTTGCATCTGATGCATGCCCAGAAACAAGCACAGTGACAGTTTTTTGGAGTGAAAGAAGCGCGCCAGCATATCCGGACAAACGGATGTGCATGCACACATGCATGCCTTACATGGTTGGCTACATGTAACAGTACATACGCTTACACTCCGAATATTGTACTTGCATGCGGCAGCATAAGCATGGACTGGCACTCACCTGAAACCTGGTCTACATGTTAGTACATATTACCTGCGCATGTGCATTCATTGTCTGCCTCGTGTTTACGTGCATGCAGGCGATACACCACGATGGCAAAGGCACTCACGCAAAGATCGTTAACACATGTTCTGCAGTACCTGCTAACTTCCTTACGCCGGTATGCAATTCCATACATGTAGTGAGGCTTCGACAGCTACACATGCATGTACATGTCCACAGTAAAACCAAAACAGATAAGTGTATACATATATATATGTATATATTAAATAATATGTATGCAGAAAACGTATAACCAGCAGACGCTTATCTATGTCTGTATGACATGATTTTTCCCCATGGGCTGGATCCACATCCCATCAGAATGCGAGCGGCCACTCCAATGGCTTAGTGGGTGGGTTGATGGCTGGGGTCATCTTGGTCAGGCTACTAACGACGGGGTGTTTCGACAACTTCAGCTGCTGATGCCTCGCTGCAGGACGGATGACAACAGTGAAGAAATTCAGGCAAGACTTTTCCAGGTTACCTTCAATCATCAGCCTTGATTCTAACCCATGCCCGTATTGATATTCAATGGGGCCCCGTGGTATGCAAGATGGGCCGTCTGTCACTAAATGTGCTGCGTCCCTGGATAACTCCACGTCCGTGCATCCAAAGTACAAGGATTTTGCGGGTCAAAGACAGCCCAACATGGCCCAAGAAATACGCGCAACGAAATGAACACAGAAGCTGCTCTTTCTACCGTGTTCCATCCAGTTTGTTTTCGACATCTCAATGTCAATCTTGGTGTTGTGGCGATGAAAAACACAAAAGTAGGAATACCATACGTGAATGTCAGCTCCAGAATCCTGATTCCGTTCATCGTTTCTCTTTCTACATCTTGAAACTTTTGCCATGTGTTTCGATGCAGAGTCTTCAATAGTAGATAGACCGTGTGTCGAAGATTGCAGGTATGCTGGACAAGCTTTGCATGAGCCCAGTATTGAAATTTAACAAGCCTCTCGATATGCATCTTGAAATCCACTATGGGGCCGAAACCATTTCTGTCAACTCTAGTCTTGCAGCAGGTCTGACATGCTGTTCCTTAGTTACGTGGTAGCCTTGCTCGGGAAGTATTCCATGCTGCGCATCTCCTGCCATCCTGAAATCGCTGCAAACACGAATCCTGACAAAGCAAGCTCAAGAATTAGTAGTCTTTTCTTTGTTGTTGCATTCCGTGCACCGATCTAGTAATGCAGCAGCGAAGACACGCGCTCTGCTATAACGTGAAACGTTGTGCAGCACTCTGACATACTGAGAGTTTGGGTGACATGCCATTTATCAAGTTCACCAGACTGTTAGTTTCCATTCCGCGTTGATGTGCTTGCGGCAACCGTAAGGATTTGCTTGCAGTTGAACACGCCTTCTTTCAGAACATTTAGCTGCAATTATAGTAGGGTTATGATACCGAAGACATGCAGGACCCATAGAGATTCTCAGGGCCTGGTACGGCACCATGAAGGAGATTCTAGAGGGCGTATAAGGACTCGTAGCTTGGACTGTATGAAGCATTCTGAAAGGCATTAGATAGACTCAGGATGAGGATGTTGGGTGAGAACAGCGAACATAGAAGTTTTGGGACCTGAACATTTTCTATTTGTGGCTGCTAGTTGCAGGTCTTGTACTTGTTGCCTGTAAGTAGCGCACCGTGCAGTTCACACGTGACCAGCGAAGAGGATTCGCGACAGGTATAGAAATGTTTAAGTATTCGCAATGACTCGCAGCTTCGATTACAATTTGTGTGGTTGCTCGCACAAACATTACCATGGCAGCTTGTATAACGCGTACCCATAAACTGCGTTCGCGGTGGGGTCTGAGGGGAGGGTGAATGTGTTATCAAGAAGCATCAACTAGGAGATGTTAGAGATCGACTTGGACACAGAACAGCGGCTACTCCTGATACTAAACCACACAAAGTCTTTGGAAAAGTTGGGTGGGTTTGGGGATGATAGCATATAATAGTAACACATATATATATGCCGATATATGTATATATGTACATATACATATATGTATATATACACAGTTATACACATATACATATCTCTATATATATATACATATATATATATGGTACCGCCCCCCTCATGTACCCACGCCTTTCTTCTAAATCAAAGCTTTGGGAAGGTGTGGATACTTGGGATGCCCTTGTACCCACACCTTCCTAACGTCAGAATGGCGTGGGTTCTTGGTTCTTGGGCTCGGGGAGAGTGCCTGTAAATCATAACTTTCTTCCAT